TGGAGCAAGTATTTGAATGTGCAACTAATTACTTATGTTCTGAGAGACTCAAAAATGAGCACGTATCTGTACCGCTCATTTTAATGATTGTGTTTTGTAGAGCATGAACATTTTCCGTTACAGTGGTTGCATTGCAGTAGAGAGGTTTAGCTCAGCCCTTGCTTAGTTCTGTATATCTTAATAAGAAACATTTGCATTTTAATTCTTCTGTTGTGCATTTGTATGTTTTAGGAGAGCTAGCTACATAATTACAGCAAGGTGTGGTGATCCTTCTTCCACTGTGTTTGCCCTATAGGTAACATCCAGGTGAGGAATTACAGCAGCAGCATTTGGTTCCCAAGCTGCAGGCCCCTTTCGGGCTTCCCAAAGTGGGATCCCAAGGTTGTGATCCCATATCTCTAATCCAAAATGCTGTCAGTGCAGGTGAGAGATTGTGCTTCTGGAGACACGACTCCCCTCTTCCATACAAAGCCACTGCTGTGACCCGTGAATGCATCTGGTGGATCCTCAGCACTTTACTGAACTTGAGCCTCACTGTCTTTTTCTGATTTCCCATGCCAGCTGACACAAAATGCTATCCAGAACAAAAGATTGAGCACTATTGACTTTACAAGCCTCAGATTAATACAATTTTATCAAAACAATATGATGCAGTAGTCCTTTCTAGTGTAGCAATTTCACACTTAAATATATCCAAAATGCTGATGTTCTGATGCTGTGAGCTCAAGTATAGCCGTCTTTTTAGTGAGGAAACATCTTTAAACTTTACCTTATCTTTTAGTAAGGTTTTCAGGTAGCATCATGTTAACATCACTATGCAGCTTCCAAACTGAGCTCATTTAAATACAGTCAGTTCAGAGTGTGGGCAGAAGGGGACCTCCGTACTCTCTTCAGTGTCTGCAATGTGCCCAGCTTTCCCGCCGATGCAGAGCAGAGAAGTAGATTGAGTTAAGCTGCCTGAATATGGCCAAATTGTCACAAAGGGAATTAAGAATCAGTTACTAGCACACTGTAAAACACCCAGACTTCCTATGTAAACAAGGCCAACACTAGTAAAAAAAAGGAATGAATGTTACTTTTGCTAATAAGTTTGGCCATTCCTTTAATGGCCCAATGATGCACTATTAACATAGCTGGATATTTTAAGCTGATCCAGTAAAAAAAAAAAAAAAAAAGAAATCATGTTCTTGGCCTTGTAAAGCATAGCTTTATACACACATCTTCTCTCATACCTCAAGATTAATATCCTCCCTATTCCCTATGCATAATTTTCAATTTCCCTTCTTTTGTTTGACTAATGAGACAAGGTAACGCTTCAGTTAAGACAAATTAATATTCAAATAGCTGAGAAGAAAGATAAATCTATGTAAGATTTCTTAGTGGTGCATTTTCTCTGCCTTTGTTTGGGAAGAGCTCTAGTTCTTAAAACTATAAGGTTTAGGAAATCCCAACAATAGTGCAGACAAAATTTAACATCACACATACAAAGAAAAGTATGAACATAAACTTCCCACACTGGCCTATTCCCATGGTGTTTAGACCCTTCAAATACTTGTAGACGTTTACCATATTTTCCCTTAGTCATCATTTGGCTAAGCTTATACATACTTAGGCCTTTTAGTCTTTCCTCATAAATCAAACTCTGCAACCCATGATTACTTTTGTTACTTTTATCTGAAGCTTTGCCAGTTTGATGACATCTTTCTGGGATCAAGGTTTATTCCAAAATTTGCAGACAGAACTGTAATCATTGCTGCTTCAAGGGTCGGTCCCAAAGCTAGAGCCCATGATGTTTAAGAAAGGGATGGTGAAAGTTTCTGAGATGCAGGGAAAACAGTGGGAATTATGCTACACTGGGCACAGACTGGTGTCCTCAGAGAGGGTTCAGACCAAAGGGGAAGTGTTCCCTTTTACTAGAATTAATTTTGCATGTGGATAATGCATTGATGGAGTAAGAAACTTTGCTAATATTGCAGTCTGGTTGTTAGTCCTTGAGATAAGGGACAGTGTGTGGAGGAGAATTAAAAGCAAAGAAACTGCCTAGTGGAATGGGAGGTGGAAATAAGTGAGCTCGTGCTTTCCCCATCTCAGTCCCTGCTACTGCATCCCTGGGCTGGAAACTCTCAACTCATTTTGGACCAGACAGCATCAACTGAGAACTTCTGTGAGGCAAAAAAATTGGTGCTGGTGTAAAACAAAACTTCAGTATAATTAGAAAATGAGTGCATGCAAGGAATGAAGGTGATGTCATCTGGACACAAGCAGAGGAGTGGAGCGCACATCTAATTCATGCTAGCTTGGCTAGATGCATGCGGAGTGAAAGCTCGCTAAGCCTCAGGGCAAAGCAAAATGATAAATGGCAAAGTACAGCCTTGGAGAGGAGAGGGGGAATTGCAGAGCTTGTATGAGACTGGTGGCAAGCTTCGTCAGGAGGTGAAGCGTAGCGAGTGTTCGACAGCCTGCAGAAAAGGCCTGAGGCCTGACGTAGGGCTTGCTGGCTCTCCCTCCATTGACCTTCAGTATTGAAACAGATCTGATGAGACCACAGCAATTTCTAGGAAGAAATGGTGTAATATACCTCAAGAGAAAAAATGGTGAAAACATTCCTTTTAAAGTTTTACATTTCCTATGGTTTTGGATGATTGGCAAAGTGGGTTTACCTGCAGGGTATAAGCTTTCTGATTTTTTCTTTGAGTATGGACTACAGTTTGTCACTGCTTTCTCCTGAGTAAGGGGACATCTCAAGTCTTATCCACAATCTAGAAAGCAAGATAAAACAAAATATGATACACTTTGCTCATCCAGACTTCTTTTTCAAACCCACAACTTACAGACATGTTCCTTGCTGTGAGAAATTGCTGAAATTAAGCTTGCTCACATTTGTCTATTGGATTACCAGGAAAATACGGGAAAAAAATCAATGCAGAGAGAAGTTACTTTTCTTTCCAAACCCAGTAGAATTAAATTCTGTCAGTGAGAGATTGTTTCTAAAATACATTGTCAGATGTTGCTCATTTCCATGCGAAACAGGATCTCCTTTGCCAAATATGCATGGCGTGTTTGTTCCATGCTATGCATAGTGCTTATGGTGGGTTGCTATCATTGGTGAAATGAAAAATGAAGGCTCAGTTCCAAACTCTTAGTCACTGTTGTTCTGAATATGTGGAATCTCAAGGGAAGAAAACCAAGGCTGTCCTTTTTTAAGAAGCCACAAGGGCCCATAATGACCATTCAAGGTAATTAAATGTAGTGATTTCTTATAAACAATTTCATTAATTTTCCTTGAGTAATTTACATTACAAAGATAAACACATTGTTAATAAGTGGAAAGTAAAATTTTGCTTTCAAATTTGTCCAAAAAATAGCTTTGTAAGGTAGGCCAGTGGGGCTGTGTCCATCCTGGTCAGGTAAACCGTCGTGGGGTTACCAGGGCATGTTAGCATGCTCTGTCCCACAGTTTGGCTAATAGCAGCAAGATGATGGGCACGATGCTGGGACCTGATTCAAATGATAGACAACCTTGGCCTAGTTGAACTACCAGTAAAAACATAATCTAAAGGACCCAGTGGCTCCCCTTCCCCTGGGGAGTGCTGTGCTTCCCTTTACCTTCAGCATCTTGCACTCAGCATTTGGAGGCAGTGTTTTTCACATTCATGAGGACTGTATCTCCTTTAAAATTACCCTCCTGGCTGGCTTGCTGGCATGTGTCTCGAGAGTGAGTGATGTGGACTAAATGGCAGTTTTGAGCCTCCTCCAAGTGACGAGGACATTGAGCCCAAGTTTCTCACCTCCTGGGAAGTCCTGCAACCAGGAGGCATGAGGTGAAAGGAAAAGGCCAATACCCTTCCCTTGAAATAACGCAGTTGTCGAATGTGTGATGAGGCTGATTCTGCTGTCTGAGGCACGTCCAAGCGTTTCCTCCATTTAGCAGCTTTGGGGGACCTCGTTTCTGGATGCAGGTGGTGGTTCAGCAAGCGCCGAGGTGCTCAGGACGGGGCTGCTGGGGTGTGCCTGGAAGGAGAGCTGTGCCTTGGGAACTTCAAGTCAAAAGCTTGGTTGGGAGGAGAGGGTTAGATTGCAGGGCTGGTCCCAGGTTTAAAGGAAATCTTTGTGGAAGAGGAGGGTCCACATTTAAAAACTGCAGTTTGCAATTCTCATTGCACTGAATCTGCCTCTTTTAGGTGGTGTGTGCTTAACACATCAGAAACAGAGAACCATAACTGATACTACTGAAATGCTTGAGCAAGAGTTAGTCCACAATTATCAGAAGAATTTTATATTATATTCATTTCTAATTCACACATTTATCTTTTCTGCCTTTTCTGTGTGTATACTAATAATTGTTAGGCAATTGTTATCTTACCTCCTTCCAACTCTTTATGTTGGTATTCTCCCCTTTTTCTCTATCTTTCTCTTTTTTTTTAATATTGAATCATGAAAAGATCAAATAGAAGCATAGTTCTTGGCATTTAAAAAAAAAAACTTTATCCAACTTGGACTTCTGATATGAGTCTATCCCCATGGATAAGCACATTCTGGATTTAAGAATTTAGCAGTGTGCTCTCTCCTTTGTTACAAGGCTGCTATTAGTGGACCAGTGTGGTGTCCACCACTCTCATTAAAGATCAAGGCAAAACAAATCCAACTCTGAAATTACATTGTTATCAATCTCTTTAAAGTCCTGGAATAGCTTAAATTTGTCTCAGCGTGCTCTATCATCAAGCACCATGTATAAACACATCTTTTTCCTGAAGACCACAGCTTATCCTCAGTTGGAACTATATTGAAAAGATTTTTTTATCAAAAGTCACTACTGCCATCAATAATTTCATTTCCCTGAGCTCATTTGGTTTTGATGCAGTCTTTTCCAGAACCAATTTGGGAATTTAAATGCAAATCCTAATGCATTATTTTGTGGTGTGTTTTAAAACTTAGGAAGGGCAGAAATATTCCTGTGCACAGAAGAGCTTAATGATACCTTTTGTATTTTCATTTTCAAGAGGCATTTGTCCCCTGAAGAGTTCCAGGAAGTCTTCAAAATGAGCATTGAGGAATTTGATCGTCTGGCACTTTGGAAGCGGAATGACCTGAAGAAAAAGGCCCTGCTTTTCTAGCCCCTCCCGGATAAAATATGTGCTTAATCAAAACAAAAATAGTCTTGCCAGAACTATCACATGCACTTGCTGTTGAACCATTGTCCAGCTTCATTGTGTTAGTATGTGTGGGGGAAACAGGACAGATTAGATGGCAACGCGTTGGAATACAGAGAATTTGCTAATCTTGCATGACCAGATGGTTTTGTCAGTAACTCCTGGTCCTGCCCAGTTTACAACGTGCAAAAAAATCTAGCTTTAAATTTATTGTTGCTTGCAGTTATTGCTTGATGCAAACAGAAATTATGAAAGGAAGAGAAAAAGTGTAGCTGTGACAAAGGAAATGCATCCAACATTTTGTTCCATTAAGTTTTACAACACAATTTTTTACAAAATCAAGTAAGTAATGAATATAAAATTCTCCAGTGGGGGATCACATGCTATTAAGAATACGGTAAAAGCCAAAGAAAAGCATGTCCGCAAGCAATTATTGCAATTGTTTATGTGTGGTACTTTTTAAGAATGAAAGCAAAAATACGGAAGCACCTTAATTCTACTTCTTATACTGTAGACACAGCCTACTCTCTGAAAGGTCATATTTGTCTAGAAGGTAGCTAGCTATCTTTAATTACAACACAAGAGTTTTTATTTTATTAAGAATATATTGTGACATAAAACAGTTATAATGACTAAAATGTATACAGACCTACTTAAAAATTTAGTCCCATTCATCAGGAAAACTGAAGCCTTATATAAAACTGGTTTAAGAGTGTATTGTGCCAGTTAACTGTGTTTTCCTACTAGTTTGGGGTGTTTGGAAAACTTTTTTTTTACATTTCATGCTGATAAAAATACCATGTTATCTTAATTATATGTAGATAGATATATCTATCTATAAAAGAATTATTTTCATTAATATATGTCCTAAGTAAAGACATTCTTACTTTCTCCACTTTCTGGCTTTGCACAGTAACCCATGAGAACTGTGATGGCAATTGGTAGGTGTGGAAATGGAACAGTTCAGCATAAAATGTAACAAAAAAAGCTTGGTATGCTCTATCAATAATACATCCAATTATAATCAAATATATAAAACCCTCATGCATTACTATTTGCATGTTTCTATACAAATCAATTTTTTAAAAAAACCTATGTGATACTGGTGCAGTACCTTGAAACTATATCTTAAATAAAAAGCAAAGCTAACAAAATCTAAGCGTTTGATATGAGCGTTAGACCTTAATATCTCTTCCAGCTGAAATACTGTATTAAATTTAATAATTTCATATGGTCAGAAGTATGGTTGCTGACAAAGAATGTTTTAAAGTGAGTTGCTAGTTTTGTGTGATACTAAAAGAGCATTACAAAAAGTACATTTTTCAGCCATGTGTCAGTATTCTGCATTTTTACTGCCTTGAATGTTTGTACTCACTTCCTACTTCACTATGTCTTTTTGCATTTCCTTAAAGTAACTGGTTAATATATGCACTACCACACACTGTTTCAACTGACCCAGCATTGGAAAAACCATAGCATTGAACTTCCAACTAACTCTTCCAACTAACTTTCAAAATCCATGCTGTTGGAAATAAATATTTTCTCATGACCTAAATGTTTTGTCTGATGATACAAATGTTTAAAAAATTCATTAAAACAAAGACATAACTGAATGACTTTGCTAACGTGTGTATAATTTTTAGACTGCACTGCTGCTCTGGATAGGGTCTTCCCATGATATTAATGTAAATAATATGTAATTTGCATTGGTTTTGCTCAGTGAGGAGAGCTTTAAGTGTATCTCTGAATGTCAGGTTACTGTAAAGTTGGTCATGATTTAAACAATCCATCTAGCAACTGGCACATCTCACCAAGCGAAAGCTGCTTCACTGGTGATGTTCAGTGTACAGAACCATTAGCCAGTCTTAATTGAGAGCTCCTGATCACCTGTAGGCTGCCTCCATCATGCTCTTCAACGTCAGAATAGCTTCTTATGTTTTGCATAAGTGAAAACTGGCAGCGCACTGAAATGGGCCAATCTAAAACGTGATCAGCAAGGTCCATTGGTACTATGAAAATCTAAATCCAGGAGAACAATTGGTTGGAGAATGATGCTGAGTAAGTCTGGCATTGGTGAAGACCACCCTTCTCATCTACGCCTTCCTGGGACATCAGATTGATTACAGGCATCATCTCCATGAGTAAAAAAATTGCAGGTTGATCAAAGAAATCCATATACTGGTGCAGATCAGGTTCAATGTGGATCTTCATAAATAATTTGAAAATTGCTTGACCACAGCAGCTTTTGTACTGGTGTAGGATTCAACCTATACTGCAAGGAAAAGGTGCATTACTAAGCAACACATGTGATCAACAGCTCCATGCTGCTGTACTCTATTATGGAGATGTATAGCTGATGACAAGCGAGGACAGTGAAAGCACGTGAGCTCTGTTTGACCCATTTATGCTGTTTTGAGCCAGTTAGTCTGTGGTAACATCAACAGCCTTAGAAGTGTCCCCTGAAGATCCTTGTCCTACCTGAGCTAAATCAGATACAACTCTTGTTTTACCTACCCCCATGTAGATGTTTTAGCTCATGAGCATCAATTCTTATCACAATGCACAACTGTACCTACAGTGGTACCCCATCATCTATCTATATTTGCTTACAAGTCAGTTTGTCATTCTGTGCTCCCTTTTATGGTCAGTGAAGAGAAAAAAGGCACTTCAGTCACATCCTAATGTTCAAAACTAGTTATATGAATTGCATCTATCATATTTCTGTCCACTGAATATAAAGAAAGCTAATCCAACTGCAGAAGTATACACTACAAGCTATCTAATCTTAGATGAAATTGATTCTATGCCTACAGTCTGGAAGTGAAAATAATAAGCCAGATTTTACCAAGTTGGTGGAATACCCGTCTTACAACCATTGGCAGTTCCTAGACCATGTTACCAATCACTTTCAAGCCATCAGGACAGTACTTTGAATTGCACAGGTCTCACAAAACGCCTTAACACAGTAATTCTTTGTGTTCATTAGACTATTCACCAAACAGGCACATATTCGATGCCAAACACGCAAAAATGTTTTAGAAGACAGTCAGTTTATCAACTTACGTTCCTACTACCAGCCAAAACCAAAAAGGAATTTTGGCTTCCATACACAAAACCTTTGCTGACGTTAGATGAACAAGTACTCATGTGTGTCCTTCTTATTTCATTTTCCTGAAATGGTCTGTAGACGTCTGTTCTGTGCAAAGGTGGCATAACTCAATAAGCTGTTCTGTTTTGCAGATGATACATGTCGGTGTATCACACTATATTTAAAGCATCTACTCTCATATGGTGTAGGGACCTATTTAGTTCTGCTTTTTAGCCTAACTAAATTCTCATTTACAATATGCTGTTGTATGCTGGATTTGGCACCAGCCAAATACACCAGTGTAAAAGGGCCATAAAGTGAGTAGTGTTGTAATTCACTTCACTACTAAATTTTCTGTACATCACCTAAACTCCGTAAACCAGAACATGGCATACCAGAGAATACAACATTTCTGTTTCTAAAATTTATCATATTTTCCCCATTTAAAAACTGCAAATTGGAATTCTACTCATGTAGTCTTCTTTCAGAAACTTAAGAGCGTCTTATTAAATGTGAATAGACTAACATGTGCATAATCAATGTTCTGGTTTATTTCTAGGGTTCCATATGCTAATCTTAAATAGCATTATGAAATGGAAAATGCATTTCAGAGTAATGAGATAAATCTTTGCCAGAATATTCCATCTGATAGTGTGGTCCAGCATTGGCAGTAACAAACTGAGAGTCTCAATAAATCATCGGCTGTTTTTTAGATAATGCTCTTTCGAGTTATCCAGATACTGTTCCATAGTCCTGTTTTCAAGGAAATTCTGTCTTTCACCATTTTGGTAAGTATGGATATGGCTATGCAGCTCAAAAGGATCAATATAGCTCTTGAAGGAACCTATTTTGATATGTATACAAGAAGCAAGGGAATTCTGTCAGAGATTTCATTTTCATACTTGGATCTGAAGTGTATGTCTCAGCTGTTCGCAACAACCCTGATGTATGACCTAATTCTCACCTCATGTATTTTAAAGAAGGCATGTCTCAAACACAGGAATGAAAGAGCCAACTTATTTCGTCATCATAGTCTGTGAGACAAAGGAACACATGGATTTTTGTGGTTGCTGAGGAATATCTGACCAACAATTCCAGATAGGAAACCAGGTCTGCCAGATTACCATTATAGCTGTCTGAGAAGGCTGGACATTTTTGTCTGACCTTCTGCTATTTCTTTTCCTTGTGGTCCAGGGGAGAACTCTGAAAACTGGAATTGCAGAAACAAGAAAATACATAGTTGTGAGAAACTACCTGGAATCTAATAACCCTCTGAGACAAGGTTAGTTTTACATGAACAAAAAAGGTACAGTTCAGACCAAGAGAGATGCCTTGTCTTACAGTCCTCATTTTGATGAGGAACCATCTATTTAACATTTCCCAAGTATGACCAAGCCATTTTATTTTCACGGATCTGCAGGAAAATGCTGTTCTGCTGTTTGCAGATGAGCTAGGTGAGATTCCAGGCACTGCCGTCTGTGTGGCACATGGGCTCCAGGGTGTCCTTATATTCTCCTGTCCCTTTGACTTGTGCGTAAGGAAAAGGGTCATGTTCTTCTAAGCTTCCTAAGACCTAGACTGACCCTTGACCAATGTGATTACTTGATAGCTCACAGGCGTGGCTACCATTTTTCAGATATCTTGAATATCTGAAAAAAAGACAAATGTTTTTAATATCACAATGACAGACTGCAACCCTCTTGCACATTTAAAATTATCCTGGAGGCTTGCATTTCTTCTTCATATCCAGGTATGGCCAAATCCTCACAGGCTCACAGGAGGTGCTGGCTCAGGCTTCTGGAGTCATTGTATCCCTTCTCACTTTTTCTGTTCTGTGAAAAGCCATGTTAGAAAAGATGGTACTCGGTAAAAATGCATGCCTTTGAAACATTAGATCTCAATAGTTTACTTCTCTGGTAATGAAGCAAACACAGCAAATTGAAGTTTGGTGGGTTATTGCAGCTGGTTATTATTCCCTCCACACAGCCACTGTCTCTCTGAGTTACAGCTAAAGGAAGTAAATAGTTCTGTGTTTTTCTAAGTGCTCTTACTTTCATGATTTAGCACGTTTTCTTCCTACCACACAGTGTTTGACATCTTGACTACTATGCACGCAGGTCTTTGTAAGTAGGTAGGTTCCATATTTTTCTTTAAATGGTTGAACAAATGTATGCAGCATTCAGCGGTCTGGACCAGCCAGCAGTCCTGCCGTGCCGGGCTGCCCAGCAGCAGCAGCTCCAGAGTTATCGGTAGGAAACCAAAACCAGACAAAAGCCACGTGTCCCACATATCTAAATGTATAATGATTCAAGGCTTTAGGGAAGAGGTTTACTGTCTCATTTGTTGGAAGTCTGGATATCCTTGATTTCTTTTTCTGAATCTTGTTACATATGTGTCCTGAATGATTTGCTGTTGATCTGTTTTCTCCACTTGCTATAATGCACTCTTTTATTACATCCTCTAACTCTTTTCACCACTAAAAATTGCAATATTTTCAATTTCTTTTGAAATTAAAACCTTTCTTTGTCCTTGATAATTCTTCTGCAAGCTCCTCTCAGCCCATTGTGCCTTGTATGCAGGAGGTGGTCTGATAGAATAAAGGCA